ACCGGGAGGCGGGGGGGCGGGAGGTGCAGGAGGCTCCTGGGTCTCCTGTTCTGCGGGATCAGATTCTAACCCGCTTTCTTCCCGGCAGGAGCCTTAACGGTCTGCGCTGTGGGCAGGCAGCTCTCCGCTGCTAAATCGCCTTCTGATGCCGGGCGGAGTGCCTGCGAAAGGGACCCACCAGGGGTCCAGGCTTTCCGCATTGGCAGACCCATGGATGTTAAACTTCCTATTGCTCGAGTTTCCGAGAATTTTCCTTATGCATTTAAATCAACTTAAGCAGTTGATGATGGTAGTCATCTCTCTTGGGTCCCTCTTGGGTCCCCATTCACCATCTCCCAACTAAGACATGTCATCAGAGGACAGGACTCAAATTCTGGGGAAGAAAGATCCTCCCATGGCCCCATCCCCCCAAGCATCTTTGCTAATGGAAGTCATTAAATCCCTCTGTCCTTTTAAATGCACAAGGAAACAGGAAAATAACCTGCTTGGGGAGTGGAGGGAAGGAGGAAGTGGTGGGGGCTTAATGCATTCAACAAAGTTTCCCTCCTTTCCAACTCCACTCCCCCACCTCCACCCACGAAAGAGACCAGCAAATTCAACTGAAAGGTTCTCTCTTTAGGAGCAAGGCTCCTTCTAGGAGGCAGCGAGAAGCAACGAAATGACACTGGAAATTCAGAGGGGGAAAATCAAACCGCATACCTCAGGTCCCTGGCCTCCTCCAGCGTGTGGAACCACATTCCTTTCCAAAAGTGCCCAAATGCAGCCAGCTCCTGCCAGACTCTCCCGTCTTCCCCACCCAGCACATCCTACCATCACATGGTCTTCATTTCCACTCGCCACTATCCAGGCCTCATCTTCTCTCACCTGGACCACCTGCAGGGCTTCAACTGCTCAGCTTCTCCGACTCATTTCTTTTTTTTTCTCCTTTTTTCTTTTAATACATTTTTATTGATTTCTGAGAGGAAGGGAGAGGGAGAGAGAGACAGAAACATCAATCATGAGAGAGAATCACGGATCGGTTGCCTCTTGCACGCCCCCTACTGGGGATGGAGCCTGCAACCTGGGCCTGTGCCCTTGACTGGAATCGAACCGGGGACCCTTCAGTCCACAGGCCCATGCTCTATCCACTGAGCCAAACCGGCTAGGACCCCAGACTCATTTCTTAAAATGTCAATGTGGCTTGGACTCTTTCCTACCTAAAACTATGCATTGGCTTCCCAATGCCCTCAGGAAAGCCAAAGCTCTTTTAACATCTCATTTAGTCACCAAAAAAAGCCGGCCCCTGCTGAGCGCCACCATCACTTTGCCTCTCCATCACCATCTTTTCCCCTGTACTCAAAACTTGTAATTAAAAGGAGACATATGTAATACTCTTTGTAATACTTTAAGCAATAAATAATTTTTAAAAAATTAAAATTAAAAAAAAAAACCTTGTAATTATTTGCACGTGCCTCCCTCTCTTACCTTCAGGCCTTTGCTTATATTGTTCCCAATACCTAGAATGTTCTCTGCCTCCCAATCTCCTTATCCCTGCCTAATGCCTCATGGCTCTCAGTTATGCCATCTCTCCCTCCAGGAAATCTCCCCCTCATCCCCACAATAATTGAGTTCTCTCTGTTCCCTGTGCCTAGAGCCACCATTATCTCCTCTACCAACTTGTTACCCAACACACGTCACTGAAGTTAGTGCTTAATGTCTTCCTCCCTAGAATGTAAGCATGTCTCTCTTATCTGCCACATGTGCACAGGGCGCAAAGCATACAGTGTCTGCTTGATATGCCTTACAACAGCCACCATCCAGGTTAACATGTAGAACAGTTCTGTCATCCAGAGGTTTCTTTATGCTTCTTCCCAGGCAACAACCCCTTAGCCCCCAGATGTTGTATGAACTATACTCATGTCTTTAGCATCAGTTAGTATTACTTATTCTTGAACTATATGTGAATGGAATCATAGAAATATAAATCCTGTATAATAAAAGGCTAATATGCAAATCGACCAAACTGGAGAATGACTGGTCACTATGATGCACACTGACCACCAGGGGGCAGACGCTCGATGCAGGAGCTGCCCCCTGGTGGTCAGTGCACTCCCACAGGAGAGCACTGCTCAGCCAGAAGCTGGGCTCACTGCTGGTGAGCACAGTGGTGGTGGTGGGAGCCTCTCCCACCTCTGCGGCAGTCGGACATCCCCCAAGGGCTCCTGGACTGCAAGAGGGCATAGGCAGGGCTGAGGGACCACCCCCTCCCCCTCACAGGGCACGAATGTCATGCACGGGCCTCTAGTATAAATATAAATACCTAAGCAATGGTCCAACCATTCAACCATTCGCCCGGTAGCTATGACCCGCAATGACCACCAGGGGGCAGACACTCCTAACAGTAGAGGAGGGAGCCAGATTCCTTGTGGAATCAGCGTGGGTTAGGTTGCTGCTGGGGCACTGTCGGCCCCTCACAGGGCACGAATGTCATGCACGGGCCTCTAGTATAAATATAAATACCTAAGCAATGGTCCAACCATTCAACCATTCGCCCGGTAGCTATGACCCGCAATGACCACCAGGGGGCAGACACTCCTAACAGTAGAGGAGGGAGCCAGATTCCTTGTGGAATCAGCGTGGGTTAGGTTGCTGCTGGGGCACTGTCGGCCCTGAATCTGATTCACCCGGACCCAGAGAGGAGGGAGGAGGGAGCCCCTGGGCATCCAGGTCCTTGGGGCAGGGCCTGCAGGAGGGTTCTCACAATCTGAGACCCCTCAAGGGATGTCAGAGAGCCAGTTTCGGCCCGATCCCTGCAGGCCAGGCGGAGGGACCCCACCAGTACATGAATCCATGCACCAGGCTTCTGATAGATAGATAGATAGATATGGATAGATATAATTTGGTGTATGGGTTCTTTTACTCAAAATAATATCTATGAGATTGATTCATATTGTTTCACATATCAGTAGTTGACTCTTTGCTATTGCTGCATAGTATTGCATTGTCTGAATATAACACAATTTATATGTCTCTTTCCTGGCTGTAGACATTCTAGTTGCCTCCAGTTTTTAGTTGTTATGAATAAAACCACTGTGAATACTTGATGGATATATGCATTCTTTTCTTTTGAGTACGTAACTTGGAGTAGAATTGCTAGGTCATAGGGTAAGTGCCTGGTTTTTTTTTTTTAGTAGATACTGCCAAAATTTCCAGTCCCCACCTGCAGTATTTGAGAATTCCAACTGGGGGGGGAGGGGGCAGGAGGGGGGACCAAAAAACTAAAAAATCAACAACTCTCTTCTTTGATCCATATGAAAAGTGAGGTCACAGGGCAAACCCCTACTCCCCAGATTAGAAAGACAGACAGGCAAATAC